TATTCCAAATCCGACCACGTCTTACCACTTCAATGGTTTTAACCACCACAGGTTGCTCACCAAGTCAAACTACAACTGCCTTATAACTGATCTCCTTAATTCCAGCCTTGCTGCCCCAACCCCATTCTCCACTGCCACTGTCACAGTCAGCATTTAAGTGCATGAATCAGATCACATCATCCTCCAGTGACATCCATCAAAGAAAAACCCAAACTCCTTTTTAACCGTGGCCTACACATCTCTCCATTGTCTGATTCCTATGGATCTTTCCAAACTATTTCAGTCCACTTCCCTCATCACTCATAATATCCTACATATGACAGCCACCATTCCAAACTCTTTCTTGACTCAAGGCCACTATGCTGTCCTTCCTTTTGCCTGGGATGCTGTTCTCCTAGATTTTCAGTCATTCCCTCCTCCTCAGTAATTATATACCCAAGGTGATAAATGGCATAGAACCATGCTGGCTGGTTTAGGGAACCTCAGCTTCTAGCTATTGGTGCTTTTCTAGTCACTCTCTCCCAGTATCAATATCTTATTAGTTTAATGGCCACAAAGAAAGTAAAGTATCTTAATCATTTATTGCATTCGTGTTCATAGAGAAAATCTGCCCACCTCACCTCTTCAACTACAAAACGTAAGCTGCTTGAGAAGAGAGGCCTTGTTTGTCTTATTCATTGCTATATTCCCCAGCATGCCAAGTGTCTGCCCTGGATTTATTGTCTGTCTGCCTATATGAATATATGTTAATACTTTAGAATTCAGTTCAGCTATACATAGGTTAAATTAGCTTTATATTCTAATGAAAGAATCTTGCCCCACTTAAAAATCTGTTTCTACGAGAAATTGCATTTCATGGTCCAAACAATATTCAAATAAAATTTTTAAATATAACTGATCTGTATGTGAAAGTTTACATATATAATATTTAGAAAGTGTGTTAAAAAATACACATCTTCACTGAAGGCTAATGTCTAGTGACCAAAATAATCCACGGAGCCATGAATACGTCTGAAACAAAAATTTTAGTGGTGCCTTCTGCAACCAACCAAGTGGATAAATGTATTTTAGATTGCCTTGTGGGTATGAAAATTTAGTATACAGACTACAGTTTCTATGCCATCTAGTCCAACATGCCAAGCAGGATCCTGTACACACTAATTATGGGCCTGTCATTAATCCTTTCATTAATGATTTGGCTCATGCAATTTAATTATGCAAATTAAAGTATACAATGTAGTTCTGCTAATGGTATTAAGATGAGTAGGTTCACTAGCACCTTAGAGCAGAAACTGAGAATTCAAAATGCCATGTTTTATACACAGAACCAAAAACTATAGCGAAAAGTATTTTAGTAAAGATATTTTCTCAGAGAATCATAAACAGAATAAATCTTCTAAAGAAAGACATCCCTAAATTCCATAAGACTTTTCCTGGCACACAATGATTTTCACTAACACACTTTTCCACCACAAATAGAATCAATTAATTATGATCTTTTATGTCTTACGTCATATTTATCTGCCATGTTAAAAACCTGAGGTGTGGTGCTATATTCTATCTCCATTTCCCTAACAGTACCAAAAAATAGGAATTTGATTGACCCAAGAGTCTTAAGTACCAAACACCAAATAAAGTCACCCTGAAAGAAAATTCTTTCACAATTATCTGAAATGAGAATGAATATATATAATTACTAATTCAAGGGGTTCTCTCTTGCTACAAAATCTCTTTGTAAAAAAAGTAAATAAGTGCCTTTATGCCACATGCAACCTAGGCACTTAGCAGTCTTTCCTAAAAGGTTCCAGTTTATTTCACTTTGCAAAATTGGCAGGCAGACAATAGTCTTAAAGAATCATATCCTCAGAAAACAGACCTATCTTGTTTATTGGTTCTATCTGATTTTCAAAAACCTCATGAATTCCTTTTGGGTTGAATGAGTTATATGCTCCTTTACCTAAAATCTGTACTTAGATGCTTTCAATTAAGAAAGGGCTTTTGCTGTTAATTTCTAACAGAAATTCTAGATAGTCCTCTCCATCAGTTCTTATAACAATTCAAAAGCACATTTTTCTTCTCTTTCCACATGCTTCACCCACTTATAAGCTCAGGCACTTATTAACTCATCTGTATAGTCAACAAAATGTATTTTAAAAATATAACGCAGACACAAATATAAAGGATAGCTTAAAATGTGAAATAATATAAACCATGGGACCTATAGGAGATGACGCAATACATCGGTAGAAAAATAATGAGAATCTGAACTAAGGCAGTTTTAGCAAGAAGGGAAAGAAGACAGAAAGGGCAGGGCATGGTGGCTCATGCCTATAATCCCAGCACTTTGGGAGGCCGAGGCAGGTGGATCACAAGGTTTCGCCATATTGGCCAGGCTGATCTAGAACTCCTGGGAGAGGTTTCTGTGGAAGTTAGAGACGAACGTTTCAAGAATGGAGTAGTCAATTCTATTTGGGGAAAAAAAGAGAGAACAGGAGAGATTAAGAAGTAAGAGTGAAGAGAGGCCACTCAATCTTGATCTAGCCCATGTTGGGCTAGTTTAAGTGAAAATTTGATGAGGAGATAGTAAAAGAGGTATCATGAGGGTAAAGCACTGTCAAGATAGAAAATTCTTTATCTTTTCTTTTTTTTTTTCCATGAGACGGAGTTTCGCTCTTGTTGCCCAGGCTGGAGTGCAATGGCGCGATCTCGGCTCACGGCAACCTCCGTCTCCTGGGTTCAGGCAATTCTCCTGCCTCAGCCTCCTGAGTAGCTGGGATTACAGGCACACGCCACCATGCTCAGCTGATTTTTTGTATTTTTAGTAGAGACAGGGTTTCACTATGTTGACCAGGATGGTCTCGATCTCTTAACCTCGTGATCCACCCGCCTCAGGCTCCCAAAGTGCTGGGATTACAGGCGTGAGCCACCGCACCCGGCAAGATAGAATTTCTTACGATGAGGGAGACATGAAACTTTTCTTAGGAAAATAAAAGCATTTCTACAAAAGAGAAAGATTTAAAAGGAAATATACATGTATGGTCTCTAGGAGGAATCTCTCTTACATAATAATATTTAGTCATTAGTGACTATTTAAGGGAAAAGAATTAGCCATGTTTGAGATAACTTCCTACCCTATACATTTCTCTCTGCCCTGTACTCAAGGCAACTACACTGATGGGAACCACACGTTCCCAACTTGACTTCAAACATCCAATCCCATGGAAATGTCCTTACCTGCCCAGTTATTATGCCCTTTGAAGTGTAGTTTGAACTAAGAAACACAGAAAATATATGCAGGGAGAGTGGTACTTGGAAGTCTACGTCCAGTCAGAATTAGTGAGGTCATTTCCCCATGTGGACAATGATGAATAAACAGAGAAACTTGGTCTTCAAAGAGAGGCAGAAGCTCAGAGAAAAGACATGGTAAAAAGAATATGTGGCCTGAGAGAGAGAAAGAGAAATGGAGAAAATCGCTTCTCACTCACAACTCACCATCCTGTTTCCAGTGCCAGCTCCCATAAGGCCAAGCTACACTTCACATTTATGACATGCCCATAATCCCTTTAATCAACCACTTATGTGTGAGAAGTGAATGCATTTCTTTTCTTACAACTCAACAATTTTGACTATAAAATGCAGTTTCTTTTCTGACTTTTTTAGGACATCCGGAAAACTTCCAATATAAAGCTACGCAAATAAATTGTAAATGTTTAGTCACAAAGCTATAAACCTTAATCATGAGCAGGCGGGTGGCATGGCAACCACAATGAACTTTACTTATGGAGTGCAATAAGCTTGTTGCAGCATTTTTTTCCATTTGTAAAGAGGTCAGTCACTTAGACTGTTCCTGAATACTTCATGTGATTCTGCTGTATGCTTCATAGCACAAATAAATCTCATACTTCAGTCAATGAAGGAGGCAGCAGTAAATTGTGATTTTTACCATCATACACATCCAGGCTCCCAGATTTTCCAAATCTATTTCAGCTCATAATCCCTCTTTCTCTCTCATCTCTTTTCTGAATTATTACACTCCCCCTCTCCAAACTTCATGGGAAATCATCTATTCTAGTTTGACAGCCTGTAATAATGGAAAAGTAAAAAAATCTCACCCTCCTACGTTTCTGGGCATTGTTAGCCAGCCAGCCTCCTAACCCTGGCACAGCTGCTAATCCTACATTTGTGTACCCAGATTTCACTTGGCTCCTCAGTTATCCCCTTTCAGAATGCTGTTTTCACCCTCATGCAGCCCTTCCTACTGGGGGTGGCCTACTTCCAACTTCACAGGTCAATAAACAAGTGGACAGATTAGCACAATGTTTTGCTGGAGTATCTCAGTCTCATTCATCCCTTCCCATCTGCACCTCTTTTTCCATCTAGCTCTGATGCCCAACTACTCCTGGACTCAGTTCCCTGGGTAACAGTTGTTGCCTGGTGACTAGAGCTCTTGAGAAAAGAGGAATAAGTTGAAGGAGGGACCCAAAAAAGAAAACAAAGCTATAAGTGACTTAAGGACGGAGATTATGTCTACCTTGCCCATATTATGCCCTCTGAAACTAGCACAGTGCCTGGCATATACAGGTATTTAGGAAATATTGGTAAACAAATGAACTACAAAAAAACCAGAATAACAAATCACTCTACCTACACCCAACTACTTCCCATTCTCTCCCAAGTTAAACCTTGCAAAAAGACCCAGGCTCATTATTTCATCTTGCTTAACCTAATTCAATTTCAAATATCACAGGAAACTGTAATCCTCATTTACTTAAAAAATAAAAATTAAAAATTAAAAAGATTAGTCCATTTTACTTACTAAAGGTAACTTTAATAGTCTCCTCCAAAATGTTTTTCTGGGGATCTTTTAAAATGTTACTTATTTTCTATGACAATCATCTTACATGAAAAATAATAGATGTGTAACTTTAATAATAATAAATCAGCATACATATTAATCATAAATCATATAATGTTATAAAAACATAAAAATATGAACTTACATGTTTGGATAAGTTAGGGCTCTTTGAATCAACATCATACCTAAAAGATTGAAATATAAAACTCAAATTACTTCCACAAAATACAGCCAGAGAAAAACACCAGTATTTTCCAAAACACATAAATTATATAAAAATGAAATCCAAAATAATACCAATAGGAAGAAAAACTTAGCAAATTTAAAAGTTTCACATAATCTGTGGCTTACTGCCAATGGTAGAATTCATGATCCTTGAGTTCTTTCATTTCTAAAGACCTAACAAGTCTTAATATTTTCTCAATAATCAATTCTGCTGTTTGATCAGTTTAAACTTTCTCTTTTCTGTGCATCAGTATCCTAGTACTATTCAACTTACTTCAAAATTCCTTAAAAACTGAAAAGCCCTCTTCTCTAGACATCATTTAAAAGGGCAACATGAGGGATCCTTGAGGTAATAGAAATGTTCTATATGTTGCCAGGATAAATGTCAATATCCTGTTTGTGATATTGCAAGATATTGCTACTGAGGGAACCTAGGTAAAGGATACACACGTCTCTCTGTATAAGTTCTGTATTATTTTTTACAACTGCCTATGTGTGAGTGTATGTTTATCTCAAAATAAAATATTTTACTTTAAAAAAATCAAATTAATTAATAAACAGATCCTGATAACAGGCTGTCCTTAGCATACATTTTAATTCTTAATATCTTAAATGCTATTGTTAAATTGGCTGGCGTAATGAGACATTATTTTCCCTAATCAGAGGACTTAAAACTTACATTTTATGGAAACAAAAACATATTTCATGAGACTATCATATGTTCTGGTTTTAACCAGTTGGTACTGGAAATTAATCAGTTCTTGGAGAGATTCTAGAATAAGATCATTCATCATCACTTTATTGCCTGGCACTACAGAGGTTGTAGAAGTGGAGAGGACACCGATAGTCGAAATTACCTTCCATTTGCCAAATTCTTGTATAAGAAAATATTTGTACTGACTACAGACTGTCTCCCAAATCATACTCATTTCACATTTCTTGTGAATAGCTTCCTACCAAAAATTAATTGCCTTTTTAAAGGTTAATTAAAGTCTCCTCTCTCACATAACAAGAAAGTTTTCACAATTAAAGAAAGCATAAAAGTTCACTGAGTATATGGATACTGGGGAGAAGGGCATTCACTCACTAGCAAAGAATGTATACCATAAACTACCTTTAAAACTGCAATGGCTCTGGGCAGTAATCACCCAAGGATACTAAGACTTTGAGGTAAAAGAAAAAGGACTTTTTTTTTTTTTTTGAGATGGAGTTTCACTCTTGTTGCCCAAGCTGGAGTGCAATGGCAAGATCTTGGCTCACCACAACCTCCACCTCCCAGGTTGAAGCAATTCTCCTGCCTCAGCCTCCTGAGTAGCTGGAATTACAGACATGTGCTACCATGCCTGGCTAATTTTGTATTTTTAGTAGAGACTGGGTTTCTCCATGTTGGTCAGGCTGGTCTCCAACTCCTGACCTCAGGTGATCTGCTTGCCTTGACCTCCCAAAGTGCTAGGGTTACAGACGTGAGCCACCGTTCCCAGCCAGGACAAAGACTTCGCTAATGAATAGATCAGACAGACAGCACCTAAACCCATGGATCAATCTTAGCATCACTCCAACTGATGGGATGTGAGAGATAACACACAGAGCCACTCTACAGAGATGGAATTTCTTGCCTCACCTTCTCTTTTAAAAAATATTCTGATTCTCCTCAACAGATAGCTGGTATTAAGAAGGGGGAGGAGACTATTATTGAATACAGGAGACACAGGACAAAAATACAATGTGTGACTCTTGTTTGGAGCCTCACTTAAACAAACTAATTGTTAGACATTTTTAAGACTATCAGAGAAACTTTCAACTGGTCGGAAAGCTAGTTGCCATTAAGTACTTATTTGGCCTAAGGTTGGAGAATAGCAAACAGGAGGGTCATATATAAGCATCCTTATCCATGAGAGCTTTATTTTGAAGTATTGGTAGGTGAAATTATAACAATCTGTAGGGGACCAGGCCCAGTGGCTCACACCTGTAATCCCAGCACTTTGGGAAGCCAAGGAGGGTGGATCATGAGGTCAGGAGTTCAAGACCAGCCTGACCAACATGGTGAAACCCCATCTCCACTAAAAATGCAAAGCTGGGTGTGGTGGTGTGCACCTGTAACCCCAGCTACTGAGACCGCTGAGGCAGGAGAATCGCTTGAACCTAGGATGCAGAGGTTGCAGTGAGCCAAGATCACGCCACTGCACTCCAGTGTGGGTGACAGAGCGAGACTCAGTCTCAAGATAAATAAATAAATAGTCTGAAGGGAATAAACAAATCAAATTGGCAATATGCATATGCTACTTTTGTATATGCTTAAAAATGTCCACGATAAAATATTTAGAGCTTTTGCTGTCTTCATCAAAATAGTCTCTCCTCTAGAAGTCCTGTGGCTTCCTTTCCATAAGGAGAAGCAGAAAGATGAAGGATTAAATGCAGAGAATATAACTTATTATTTTTTCAATAAGGAGGAAGTTATTTTTTAAATAAGGAGGAAGTTGTCTCTCTTCCAACAGCACATACTCATTATGACCTGTTTACCTATGTAAATGAATTTATTTTCATAATTTTATAATTAAATTTTACAATAGCAAAAAAAAAAAAAAAAAAGGCAAGATGTAAAAATCTGCGTCAGAAGAATTACAAATTACTCTCCTTCTCATCAAGGCATTGTGAGCACTTTCAAAAGCTACAGCCCGGAATTGTAAAACAGAAAATTGCCAACGTCTACTGTAGAACTAAAGTTGCTAGTACAAAAAAAAATGGCTTTTATTCAAGAAATGTTTCTTATGTGAGAAAATTTTTTTAAAGGTAAGATTGAAATTAGCAACTTAATGTCAGAATTAAACATAGCTGTGCTAACTCCTTCTCAAAAATCAACTCGAAACTATCTTCTAAAAAGAACTAAGTATGGACTGGGGAGAAAGGACATCAAATGTTCAATTAAAAAGTAAAAGGAAAATATTTTCATCACAAAAAACTTAAGTATCTTCAAATACAATCCTCTTTCACTGTATTTTACAAGGCTTTTTTAATGCCAGTATCTCATAGGTAATAGACATCACACCCCTGAATACAATATGTTAGATTATAAAGCATTAGAAATTACCATTTTTCTTTTCTTTTTTTTTTGGATAGAGTCTCACTCTGTCGCCTAGGCTGGAGTGCACTGGTGCGAGCTCGGCTCACTGCAGGCTCACTGAAACCTCCACTTCCCAGGTTCAAGCAATTCTTCTGCCTCAGCCTCCAGTGTAGCTGGGATCACATAGGTACCAGCCACCATACCCAGCTAATTTTTGCATTTTTAGTAGAGATGGGGTTTCACCATGTTAGCCAGGCTGGTTTTTTTGAACTACTGATCTCAAGTAATCCGCCCCCCTCAGCCTCCCAAAGTGCTGGGATTACATGCGTGAGCTACCACGCCTGGCCTAAAATTACCATCTTTCTTTTAAAACAATTTTTCTTCTAACTTTTCTAAACATATCAAGACTTCTCTAGTCCTCACTCTCACAGGTCATAACATAAACACTACATCCTAACTGGTTACAATGTAAACATGTAGCTGTGTATCTGTTAGTGAGTTCCATACTTTAAGGAAGAGAGAATATATGATCATATAGGAAGCTTGGTAGTTTCTCCTAAGATGATGCATCCACTGTGCCTGAATTTGGTAACAAATTTTGTAAACAACTTCATCCGGCCATTGAAACCTTATTACTACAGTAATAAATTGGTAGTAGCTGGCTTGGGTGCCTCTAAAGGATTACGTTTTTGATTCAAGAGAAACAGATGATGGGAATTTTTCTTGTATTTCTGGAATTCCAACTAAGGCCCAAAGAGAAAAAAAATTGTGATTGTCCTTAGCTCAGAGCTACTGAGTCAATCACATAAGGGTTGCATACTTTCTCCCCAAAGCTCAGGGGACCAGTCCACAGCCAGGTGATGAACACGTTATTCATAAGTGAGGACTTTTCCCTCTCTGTTGGGGGGCAGAAGGGAGGTTCTTTCCACTCCCCAAAGCCAAGTAAAGTATGGCTCCAAAATCTGGGATGCCTGCAAGAAGGAGAGTGCAGCATCCGGCTCATCAGTAAGATACAGAGTCCTGCTGCAAGTCCACCCTGGGGCAGTCGAGGGAAGGGAAACTCACTGGGAAGTTCTAGAAAGTGCTCTCTGCGAGATGAAAAACATAGACCAATGTCCTTTTTAGCTCTTCCTCCATCAGGACAAGGCCAGCAGGTGCTTAAAATGCGTCCCCTGAGGCTGACCCCACACAAAGTCTAGGTTTTGGGGATGGTATGAGACCCACGTCTCTGCCTCCCAACACTGCCTACCCTTTTGTATTCCCACCTCTCTTCCGTCCTGCAAGGAGCTGGGCGGTAGCTCCAGCTGAAGGGAAAGGAAGTGAAAAGTCTTAAATTAAGTTTGAGATTAAAGTTTTAAAATAAAAAGTCCTTAACAATTAACAGAGCAAGATGCTTCTAAGAAACTATAACTGAAAAGGCATGAAATTAGACTTTGACATGGTTAAGGGAGCCCTTGACCAATCAGAAAAACCAGAGTTCACATGGTGTTGGGAAAACTACTAGAAGGAAAACAAAAACAAAAAACAAACGTATTTTCCCTCTAAGTTTTGAGATTCATCTAAAATACTTTACAATAACATTCATTATACGTTTCTTAATTATTACATTTTATTCATCAAGAAAGAAAATAATTCTCTGGGTAAATCATATCTAGACTCAGGAATCCCTTTTCAGTATTCTGGTCTGAATGGAAAAAAACAAATGAGAAGTGTAATTTCTAAATTCTCCTATATCTGGCACACACTATGAAGTGATAAAGCTATACACACTTCCTGCTCAAACACATTTTTGAGCTACTCTACCAATAATAAAGTTTTAGTCATGACAACAAAGTGAATTTATTAAGAACATGTATTATCATCAGGGTGATAATTACACTAAAATAAATAAATGTCAAAGTTTATGACTTTCTCTGTGATATATAAACAGCTTGATGACAGAAACCATGTCTCTTGAATGAATAAGTACATACTGGATCAAAAAGGCAAGGGAATTTTAGGATTCATAGCTGATAAATTAATCTTGAAAATATATCTCAGACATATCATAGTAACAATAATAAAAATTAACATGGGTTAACTATTATATTACTTACAAGAATATGGGTGAGTGGTAGCAGAAATACCCTGTCTCTATCTCTTTCTCTTTCATTGCCATTATAATTATTTAAGTACCGATCTTTTTTTTAAATTTATAAAAGCCATTTCTAAAACCTCTTATAATATACAGTTTAGGTAAAATATGTTCAAAGCTTCTTTTTAAATTTTTTTAGAATCTTATAAAATCCATAGGCTTAAGTAAATCCAAAACAATTCTGAAAACCATTTACATCTACTGTTGGTCAAGTTACACTAGCGCATCTTTCAGCATGCTGTTCCCTCAAGGAACTATGTTACTCCAGTGAAAATTGATCACACAACATGGGACCATTTTTGTCATACCCAACTAAAACAGAGTCAGGGCTGAAAGGGCAGCAGAGCCATGGGGAAAATCACTCAGGAGTCACCAACACCTCACAAGCGCAATCCAAAACCTCAAGGAGCTGCTGTGATTTTGAGACAAGTGTAACCTAGTAATTGCCACCCCTTACCAATCAGAAATCACCAGCTTCTGTCAGACACAACCAGCACCAGTAAACTTTATTTCAAAACAACCTGTGTCATTTCTCTCCTTTCCCAATGAAACCTTAACCTTTCCTTTTGTTCTCTAAGCACACCAGAATCCATTCTGGTATGTGTGTGTACGTGTCTAAACTGCAATTCTAATTATTGTGTATTATTACCAAATAAACCCTTTTCTTAGAGATTCATCTCTGTATATATTTACTTAAGGTTGATATAGCCAATACGTCAGAATATTTGCAGTAATTCTCTGGGTGGCAGAGGTTGGGACTACTGCTAATTTGTATTGCCTACTTTATGCCTTATTTTCCAATTTTTTTTTTTACCATGAATATATGTTTCTTTTACTACGAATAACACATTGCTAAGATAAATTTTAAAAACCAATCACAGGTGTAATATACACAACTAGTGAGCTATTACACTATTTCCACATATATTTATGTAGATATCCTAAGAAATCACAATAAAAATAAAACTAATAATAATAAGCCTGTTTTCCAGGTTAAAGGTTATATGTGAGTATTCTAAAAAATGGAAAATTAAAAGGAATTAAAGTGATAGCAAAGATGCCACATGAACTAAGAGGTTAGACTTGTTACTCTTCTTGATAATCTTCTGCAGGTAACCCTTTCTAGCCCTAATTGTTTGAATTTTTCAGCAACCATACAAAATGGAGATGCTCTTTGAACTGAATTTCTGCAATTAACCAAATACATGCAAAAGGTAAAACGATACTTATTTAATTCCATTTTGCAATATGCTTTCACACTTCAAACATTACACTGTTTCTGTAAAAATTGCTTCAACTTCAATTAGGAAGTTGAGGAAGTTAAAATACATTCATTTACTTAACATTAATATATGTTACTTTATATTTTCCTGTCGCACTGAAATAAATGTTCCTGGAACAGACAAGTTACGAGTATCAGGTAATGAATGAAGAGCAGGACATGGATCTAAAAATTAGAGCTAAATAGCTGACAAGGAGCTCAGGGAAGGAGCTCAGGAGAGTAACAAAGCTTACAGAATCTCTGATGTTGAAATCAAAATAAAATATAGAGATGAATCTCTAAACATTTCATTGGGAATCATAGAATTGCAATTCGGGGCATATACACAGACCACGGTGGTCTTCATTCAATATGTACAAAAAAACAAAGAGAGGTTTGAGAGATTTATTAGAAAGAGAAATGCTATATATTGTTTTCAAAGAAAACTCATTGGCACTAGAGAAACATTTGGGAGCTCGCAAAAGTGGCGATTGGTGAGTGATGGTGGTAGATAAAACTAGTCTTAGAGTCATGACAGGTCATAATTAGTCTTTAGGATTATAGCAGACAGTTTCGGCAACTGCCCTTGTAGAAAATTCAATTCATGGAGCAGGTGCTGTTATTGCTTTTTCCTCCTGCCCTCTTGACTCTGATTTGGTTGGGTATGACACAAATGACCCAATTCATATAATCAACTTTCACACCAAGTTGATTTCAAAGATTTAAAACCAGAAAGTGAGCAGTCCTGTCCACATCCTATAATCTTAAAAATTAAGTCTGAGTAATTTGTCCTCTGAAAATGCAAAGTGTATATAAATATATATTACAAAAAGACTTGCAACCAAGGAAACTCACTGCAGCATATATGTAGCTGGAAAAATGGAACCAGCCAAATGCCCATCAGTAAGTGTTTGGTTAAATAAATGACAGTTCTTTTGAACAAAAGAAATTATATAATCTTTAAAATGAATGTGATATATGTATAGTTAGTGGCATAAAAGGATATCTGCAAAATACAAGGTGAAGGAAAATATATTTATTGCAATTCCTGTATGCATATGTATATGCTTAAAGAAAAAAAGATTTCCCAGCATATACATTGAATCATTTGCAGGTTTGGGAGGCGGGTGGGCTTTTTTGTATTAGGATTACAGGCAACTTTCATTTTAAATATCTGTATCAGTTAAAGTTTGTAATAAATATTTATTACTTTTAACAGTAAAAACAATGGAGATGAATGAGAAAGGAAGAAAAAGAAAGAAAAAACAGAGAGGGAACAAGGAATTATAAATGAAATAGAGACTGGTTTTACTTATAAAGATAAGTCTGGGATTAAGGAGAAAAAATCAAGAGTCCCATGATGGTGTAAAAGAAAATTTTTAAGCAATTGCTAAGAAGGCCCAGAATAATGGGAGAATTCAACCACACAGTACATGATTTATATCTGTTTTTGAATGGCAACACCATGTGCAGCCTCTTACAATAAAGATAATCAGGAAGTCATTACATTCCATTTCAGTTTCTCTTCTTATGAGCCTCACTGTTATTATTTGGAAAGGGGTTTCTAAAAAATAAAAACCAAATGTAGATGTAATAAATTTTGTTTGATAAATATGACAAATAGTACTCCTGAAGAAAGAAGCTAGGATGTTTTTTAAACACAAACACCTGCAGGTTATTTTACTGTGTATGTTTAAGAGGAAAATGAGAAAGATCATTAACAGTAAAGAGCTCTTCGTTTTTACATTATGAAGCAAATTATGACTTTTTACAATCAGATATTGATAGCTTCTGTTATCAAAAAGTATTTATAAATTGTAAAAGTACGGTACATCATGATTTTTTCAGCTATTTAAGACATCTATCTTTTTAGTGTTCATAAATTTCCCTTAATTATTTTAATATTTTAAGCATACTTTACCCACCTCGCCAAAACAGATTTCCTTTTAACCATATCCAGATACTTCAACAACCACTGCAGTTCACTTCTGTGGAACAAAATCTCTATAATAATATAAACAGACTGACTCTAGGTTCTCTGTGGCCAGGAAGTTGGATTTGACAATAATGTTTTAATATGCCAGATTCAGTATCAAAGTAATAAGAATACTTAAAATATTTAAAATGCTAACTCCATTATCCTGGCCCTTGCAAAAATACAAGTCTACCAAGGGATGAAAGGAAGCCATAGTTAGGCAGAGATCCATGTGCTATGCTAAGAAGCTGCTGAGACAAACTTAAAGATCTGAGAGACATCAGCCATGGGAGTAGATACGATAACTTTGGAGTATACGTAGAACTTGTAGGAAATCCACTGAAGCATGGGACAGCTGGAAAGAACGTCCACATACACCGTCCTGCATGGCTAAACTGCTCAATTATTCATTCAACATTTATTCAGACCTACAAAATGCAAAGCAGGGGGCTTGCTTGGGCCATACTCTGAACAGAATTATCTGGTTTCCTGCCAATATAACCTAGTACTCAGTGCAACCATAGTACGTTAGTTATATTACGATAGTAATATTGTCTTTAAAAATCAAATTTTTCTAAATGCAAATTTTAGTAGAACTTACAAGTCAAAACGAAGATTTTCTCTTTCTTCAAAAAAGTAGTCCAAAATAAACTTTCTTACAAAATCAGGGTTTAAAGTATTATCAATTACTTCAGTTCTTCCAAACTGTGGAAAGAGAGAGAATTTAAAATTAAACTCTGTATGGCTTCTTATTAAAAGTACAGTACGTAACATCACATAGTTCCTTTAAAAAATAAGCAATAAATATTCAAATCATAGGAATGTGTTTAGAGATCAAATCAGCTTTCTTATTTATTCAGGGAAATCAGAAAATAAGCCCTGAGGAGTTCATTCAAAAATCAGCTTCTCCCGAAAATTCATATGACAAACAATAATGTTTCTCCCTCTCCTCTCCCTACTTGACAGTTAAATCCTCTTTTAATGAAAAGAAGCTATTTCTACCTAAAATTTAAACATATTATAAATTATTTTCCTAACCTTGTATATAAGAAGGCCAGGCAATACATATTCTTATAATTGAAGAGATTAGAGTATTCATAACCCTCTTCCTCTTTTTATACAAAACAGCCCTATATACAATACAGTTTATTAGCCATGTTTTGGGGAGAATGCTCTGAAAATCTCCTACTCACATATGTCACAACAATCCATTGTTTCTGATTAATCATGTTTTAATTCTTACTATATCTAGACAGCTAAAATAAGACCTATTATTCTTGCATGTTTTTAAGCAATGTGCTGCTCTTTTGCTTAGAAAAACTAAGTTTCTCCATCTTAGGGCAAATGGAAAACAGGAAAAAATATTCCACTTCTAGTCCTCCCTCCCTTCAATGTGAAGGAAGGCCACTAGGCACTTCTCCAAAAGAACACAAATATTAACTTTACATCTCTTTTCTGTCCTTGGCTTACATTTTTCCCTTCCAACTGCCATGGAATTCTAATGAGAGAATTTTAACCGTAGTTCTGAGCAACATTAGGCAATGAAGCATGCTGTCTTATCAAAGAACCAACTTCTATTAAAGTTCAAAGAAATATTATCTTTTTAATAGGATAATGGAAGAATTGTGTTAATCCATTAAAATGTGAAGCTTTCTTAAATTGTAATAATAAAACTATAGTACAAAATATTGATGACACAGGATTTACTAAGGCTACTGTCAACTGATCACCCCTAAAAAAAACAAATTTTCAGAGGCCTATACCATTGGACAATGTTTTATATCATAGACCAATTATCATACAGAGAAATTATAACCCAGGTCACTGGGTTATAATAACCTATATTATATTAAAATATAACATAGAAGGCACCCGCCTCCTACTTCAACATTTCAATAATATTGAGATTTACTTTAAACAATAATATTAATTACAGCCACCAATTATTATTTACTTTGTTCCAAGCACTTTTCACATACTTTAAATATTTACTATAATTCTGTGGGGTAGAACCAACCTCATCTTAGAGATAAGAAAATTGAGGCAAAGAGTTTCATCCGAAGTCACTTTGGCTACAAAATCTGCATTCTTTCTAAGACTCTCTTCTATTTAAGCACAAAACACAGGCCCTGGAGAAGATCCAACAATGAGCCTATCCATTTTAATTTTCTAATTTGAAGGGAGTGGGAATGAGGGAATATACCAAAATTTCCAGGAGCTGGCAGTGCTTACATACTTCAAGAGAACTGTACAGAGGTCAGTAAGTTAAAATATAAATCAGAGAGACCCAGCACCCTCCCATTCTTCCTACTGCTGGGAGGAAAGATGGGTTCCAGAACAGAACAGAGAGCACCAAAGTGGTCAATGCACAACACTCTCAATAGAAGCTCAGGCAGTACCCATATTCCCAAGTATTTGAATTTTTAACCTAAACTCACACTCAGAGAGAATTTTTAAAAACGAAGTAAAATTTCCCAGGGTGAGCCCCACTGAGGTGCAGCCAGAAATGCCCCAGAGCCTATGAGCCCTTAAAACATACACACACCTGTTTTTCATAGAATGCTGGCTCCTCAGCAATAGGAGTGGCTGAGTATAATCTGCTATCTCTAGTGAAGATAAATTTGTAGCCATTAAAATCCTGGTTTTAGCAAATCATCTATACATTATGACCATGTCCATTATGTCTTCTAACACATAGCCCTGAAATTGTTGTTGCTGATATCACCAGTGATCTTCATATTGCTAAATACAGTGGTCACTTCTGGCCCTCATCTTACCAGACCCCTCAGCAGCATGTGACATAGCTGTCCACTCGTTCTTTTTGGAAGCCGTCTTTCCTGGCTTCTGACACCACATTCCTCTGTATTTCTCCTGTTCTGAGACCCTCAAGCATTTAACATCTCACTGGCAGAGCTCAGTTCTAGGCACTCTTGTTCTCTCTACAATCAGTTTTTTCAAGGTTTTTTTTCATCTGTTCCTGCTATAGTTGGAATGTACCCCTTCCAAAATTCAGGTGTTACCAATGTGACAGTATTGAGGTAGAGCATTTAAGAAGTGATTAGGCCATGAGGGCACCTTTCTCATGAATGGAATGAAGGCCCTTATGAAAGAGGCTTCATATGGCATTTGGCCATCCTTTGCCCTTCTGCTTTCCACCATTCCACCATGTGAGGAAACAGCAAGAGTGCCCTCACCAGATGCCAGTGCCTTGATCTTGGGCTTCCCAGGCTTCAGAGCTGTGAGAAAATAAATTTCTCTTCTTTTTAAATTACCTGGTCTCAGGTATTGCATTGTAGCAGCACAAAACAGATGAGGATAATTTCTTTGGCTTTAAATCCCATCTACATGATAATTTCCAAAGGTATATCATCAGCCCCCAGACTCATTTCTAAGTACAGACTCATGTATACAACTGCTTTCTTAACTTAAATATATCCCTCAAAAGTATCATCCAAACATAAACTAATTATTTTATATCACAAACATCACCCTAATACTGGTGCTTACCTGGTCTACTTCTTGTCAATAAATGCTACCACTATTCACTTGATTTATCAGGCTATAAACGAAAGTCATCAATCTCAAGGCTTTCTTTTTAATCTGCCAACTCCTATTCATTACTACCTCATAAGTTATCGATTCTAACTCCAAAACATGGCTCACAGCTGTTTACTTCTCTCCATAGCTCCTATCATCAGCCTAATTCAAGCTTTTCGTTCCTGTCATGGTCTACCCCAAGGGCCTCCCAACTTACTCTGCTTCTTCTCTTGTTCTCCTTCCAATTCATCTTCTATATGATATCCAGAGTGATCTTCTGAATAATATAAACATGGCCATGTCATTTCACCAGCCTGAAAAAATTTTAATGGCTTCCCATAGTACTTATAATAAAATCTCTTTTCTTTGGTCAACAATACCTGGCTCCTATCTTCCTCTCTAACTTCATCATAGCGAGTATCCCTTCTTTCTCTCTGTTCCAGCCTCCCGGCCTTCTTGTAGGCCCTTTACACACCAAACCCTTTCCCACCTCATGGCCTTTGCACCTGCTATTTCCTCTTACCAAAATATTCTTAACCCCATTCTCGAATGGCTAACTTTTTCTCATCCATTAAGCCTCTATTTAAATGTCAGCACTCCAGCTCTTAACAACAATCTGAAAGTGATGTTTTGTTTTGTTTTGTTTTTTTGAGACAAAGTCTTGCTTTGTCACCCAGGCTGAAGTGCAGTGGCATGATCTTGGCTCATTGCAACCTCTGCCTCCCAGGTTCAAGCGATTCTCCTGCCTCAGCCTCCTGAGTAGCTGGGATTACAGGCATGCATGCCACCATGCCTGGCTAATTTTTGTATTTTTAGTAGAGACAGGGTTTTACCATGTTGGTTAGGCTGGTCTTCAACTCCTCATCCGCATACCTCAGCCTGAGGTTACAGTTCTGAGATTACAGGTGTGAGGCACTGAGCCCAGCCAGGTCCTCTATTCTTAAAGTTAGTCTCTCTAACAGCACCTGTTTTCCCCTTAATAAAACGTATATTTTGGAACTGTACATTTAAGTGTTTATGTTTCCCCCACTAGACAGTAAGTTTCATGAAGGAACAGGACACAGATATGTTTCATTTACACCTGAATAAAATTGAACAAATGGTTAAATAAGGGAGATCTGAGATGTATTGTTCAGAAAAAAATCAAGGAATTTTGGTAAATGTATAGTATAATACCAATTTGATTAAAACATAAGCACATACGTGCGCATATATATATATGTATATATATACACACACACACACAGATAAAAATAGAATACGGTATACCAGAATGTGACAATTATTTAATTTTTAAAAAATGTATTATACATTTCTGGGTTTTCCCAATTGCAATGAGTACAATTTACTTTTAAAATCAGAAACAAACTTTCAGCCAATGTTCCTGTTTTTAATTCATTTTATTATAAAAAGTGAAAACTAGAAATAATCAGAAATCTACAGATATGTTATGGCTAGTTCAGCTCATGAGAAATATGTTGGTTATTTCCCAGAGACTGTAATATACTACCTATCAACCAAGTGATTATTATTTTTGACTTGAAATACAATTTATATCTTAGCTAATATCTTACACTACTCAATAAATATTTCTAATTCTTTGGAAAATGTGAATTTGTATATCATTCTATGCCCATCAGAGAGGTGTAAAATTTTGAGAAAAGATAATTATTAATAATATTTGTTGATGTTATACACCCAGAAACAGCTATATTTTAAAAGAATTTAACTTGTGTCCTAAAAAGTTGTGTTCTGAATATCAATAATACTAGATTATCAAAAGTACCTGTGAACCTAATTACAATAGCCTCTGGCACAGTGTACATATACAAATATGTGGACAGCCAAGCACTTTTACATAATGATACTGTATTAAGTTTTCATAGTCTTATAATTAAAAAACTATTTTTTAATTCACCAAGTATGAAAATTTCAGTTATTTGAAAAAAAAAAGTATGTTAACTTAAATTTGTTAAAACCATAAAACACTTTTCCCTTTAAAACTCCAAGCAAAAAAAGAAAAACAGCTCACAATCAATTCTTTCAAAGTTTTCCTTTGTCTTATGCTTGAGCTAATCAGATAAATAGCTACTTTTCCAATTTAGGAACATATCTTGCAGAAAATGATGGAATAGAAATACTCCTCATTTCCAAATCAGCTAATTATT